GTTCCTATCTGTACCAGTGTACATCCTCTGGTCTAGCCAGACTTGCAAGGTCGAATTCGAGTCATGGTAGTGGGAGCGGAGAGGAGACATTTAGGAACTAGAGGAAAGTTGTATTTTTAAAATGATTTTAAAAATATTACACAATAGTTTCAAAACATAATATGAAACAGTTAAGATATATGAAGAATATAACAGGATCAACTTACTCATCTGTCAGTTTGTTGTACTATGGTGTCTTGGGGGTTGCTGTGAAGCTAGAAGTTATGCCACTGGTATTTCAAACACCAGCAGGCTCACCCATGGTTAATGGATTTCATTGGAGGTTCCAGACTAAGAACAGAGCAGGAAGAGGGAAGAAGTGGTTCACTTTTGAGAGAGTAAGAAAACAAAACAAAATCCCTCAAATTCCCTGCCATTCAAGTTGATTTGCACTCATGGTGAGCCTTTAAGACAGTCTAACTACCCTATGGGTTTTTAAGACTGTGCTCTATGAGTAGCAGCAGAGCACAGTCTGATATAGTACCCAAGGATGAGTTTTTTAGTTTGGAAGGCACTTAAATACAACTGGGAAAGAACTGTCTCCTCAAAGTAGGGTCAACCTTAATGACATGAATGGAGCAGTCTTTAGGACCTTTGTATACTGGGGTTTGCAAAATCTGCAAACATCTATTATTAACTGATTTTATATCAAGAAGGCATCACAACCCAATCCAACTCAAGTTGGAGCCCGTTTCAGACTCATTTAGCCAAAGGCCAATATGCAGGAGAATCACAGGCCAGGGGGAGCAGAGTAGCATGGATCCAAGGTTAGTGGAAATATGGCAGGGCAATGATAATTTCCAAGTTGGCTCCCAGGGTCAGTGGCTCCCAGGGAGCCACTCCTAAAGGCAGACACAGAGTCCTAGCAAGCAGAGAGGGTGAAGTGGCAGAGAGGAGAAATTATCACAGTCTCTGTTATAGAAAAGGTTATATCTTCAATGAGGCATCATTAGGGAACCACCTAATTAACAGGTTGGACTCCCCCCACCCCTACCTCTACACAGGTACTATCAAGTAGTTGCCATAACATTTAACTACCACACCAAGCAGGATGTCCTTTCTGAGAGACTGGTCCCTCCTGACAACATGTCAAAAGTATCTGAGATAATGTCTCTCCATCCTTGTCTCCGAGGAACATTCTGGTTTTACTTCTTCCAAGACAGATACACTTGTTCTTTTAGCAGTCTTTTCCAACATTCTTCACCAGTACCATAATTCAAATGCATCGTTTTTCTTTGATCTTCCCTATTCAATGTCCAATTCTGACATGCATACAAGGTGATTGAAAACACCGTGGTCTGGGTCAGGGGCACCTTCGTCCTCAAAGTGACATCCCTGCTCTTCAACACTTGAAAGAGATCTTATGCAGCAGATTTACTCAGTGTTTGGTTTCTTGACTGCTGTTTCTATGAGCATTGATCATATCCAAGTAAGATAAAATGTTTGACAAATTTAACCTTTTCTTCATTTATCAAGGTATTACCTATTTGTCCAGTTCTGAGGATTTTGTTTTGTTTACATTGGGTTGAAATCCAACTAAAGGCTGTGATCCTTGACCATGGTCTTCATCAGCAAGTACTGCAGGTCCTTGTCAGTCATTTTCAGTAAGCAAGGTTTTGTCATTTGTATATGAGGAAGTATAAAAAAAAAATCCCGTTTTTTTTCAAAGCTATATATTTAAATTTTTTTACAAAACAGTCTTATCACCTTCAAAATACTCTCCACTACATTTAATACATTTGTCAAATCTGTGATTCCATTCTTGGAGATACTTTTTACACTCAACTGTTTGGAGGGCTGACGGCTTTTTTTCTTAACCTCTTCTACATTGTAAAATTGCTGTCCTTTCAGTTTCCTCTGCATTCACAGAAACAAAAAGAAGTCACACAGAGTGAGGAACAGGTGAAAAAGGTGTGTGGGGCCAGAGAGACATGTTTTTTTGCCAAAAACTGTTGCACTGAGATGGCTGTGTGAGCCAGGTGCATTGTCCTGGTGGCAAAACCAGTCCCCACCTGCCACAAATCAGGTCTTTTTTGTTGCACACTGTTACGCAATCTTTTCAGAATCTCTAAATCGAAAGCTTGATTACCAGTCTGACTTGGTGGAATGAACTCCAAATACACAAAAGTCAACATTTTTTGTCCATTCAGGGTGTTGATGGACGTTCAGAATGAGGTTTGTCATTAATCAACATTTCACCTTTTTTGAAATGAGAAATCCACTTGTACACTTGAACTTTTCCCATAACATTGTCCTTGTAAACTGTGTTCAACATCACAGCAGTTTCTGTGGCATTTTTCCTGAGCAGGAAACAAAATTTTACAGCCGTATGCTGTTCTCTTAAATTGGCCATCCATTCCAAAAGGTTCGAGTGAAACTGCTTTTATGAAACATGTCTCTGTGACTGGAGAGAAACCTCCCAGATGACACCACTGTGTGCACTCACTCAGAGCGAGTTTCTCACCTAGTGGGGAAAATGCACGCTACAGAATCTTCAGCCAGTAGAGCATTTTCATTTTTTTTGGGGGGGGGGAGCTACCCCCTCGTAAGCTAATAAGCCTTCTTCCAATCCTGGTGCAGTGCTCTTCTATATATAGTCCAACTTCTCAGACTATTTGCTCAGCACACAGATTGAGTAACTATGGTGAAAGAACACAACCTTGATTTCCACCATTCTTGACTTTAAATCAGACTGCGTTCCCTTGTTCTAGTGGAATGACTGCCTCTTGTTCCATATACATGTTTGGATAAAAGAAAAGGACAAAAAGCAAATGACACAAAATAAATTAAATGAGCAATGATATAACAGAATCAACTAAAGTAAAAATGATAAGAGTACTATGAGGGAAACCAATCACAAGGATCAACATATAGCCCCCTCCCTGGGGGACGGACAACAGAAAAGTGGGTGAAGGGAGACCTTGAACAGTGTAAGACATGACAAAATAATAATAATTTATAAATTATCAAGGGTTCATGAGGGAGGAGGGTCAGGGAGGGAGGGGAAAAAACTAGGAGCTGATACCAAGGGCTCAAGTAGAAAGAAAATGTTTTGAGAATAATGAGGGCAATGAATGTACAAATGTGCTTCACACAATGGATGTATGTATGGATTGTGATAAGAGTGGTATGAGCCCATAGTAAAATGATTTAAAAAAAAGAGTACTATGAAGACCTCTAACATTTGGAAACCTAGAAAAAAATGGACTAGTTTTTAGAAACACACTACTTCTCCAAACTAACATAAACTGAGGTTGAAAATTTGAACAGATCCATCACAAAAGAATAAATAAACTGAGCAAGTCATTATGAAAATTTCTAACAAGTCTCAGCCCAGCCAGTTTCACTGGCAAGTTTTATCATACCAATCCCATTCCAAGTGTTTAAAAACATAGGAAAGGAAGGAATATTCTGAAACTCATTTATGTAATGAGCATAACTCTGATACCAAAGCTGGAGAGCTGGGTTCATGATTCTCTCTTTGGCAAAGTTTGGCTATACTATGTCTCAGTGACTTCTCCTTTTTTTGAGTGCCATCCTATTTGGGATTCATCCGACTTCTTGAATGCATGTCTTCTCGTCTTTTTCATGATATTAGGAAAGTTTGATTTCCTCTGTGCTTTTTATTTGTCTCTTCCTGTTCTGGAATTTCAGTCACACTAATGTTATCTCTTTTGATGGTGACCCACTTAATCCTTAGGCTTTCTTCTTCATCTTTATCTTCTGTTTGTTCTTCTGCAGATTACTATTGAGAAATTTGTCATTTATCCCACTAATTTTATGTTCCATTGGTTCAATTATATTATTTTGCCCTTTCAATATATTATCTATTTTAGTATTATTTTCTATCATTTTATATATGGTTTCTAATTTTTCATTTATTTTGTCAGGTTTTTTTGTCTATTACATTTTGAATTTTTAAAATCATTTTATTAGGGGCTCATACAACTCTTATCACAATCAATACATACATCAATTGTGCAAAGCACATTTGTGCATTCATTGCTCTCATCATTCTCAAAACATTTGCTCTCCACCTAAGCCCCTGGCTTCAGCTCCTCATTTTTTCCCCTCTCTCCTGCTCCTCCCTCCCTCATGAACCCTTGATAATTTACAAATTTTTATTTTGTCTTATCTTGCACTGTCTGACATCTCCCTCCACCCACTTTTCTGCTGTCTGTCCCCCAGGGAGGAGGTTATATGTAGATCCTTGTAATCGGTTCCCCCTTTCCAACCCACCCTCCCTCCGCTATTTTGTTAGTTTCTTCTAAGTATTTTTCTGTATTTTCTTTGATTAGTCTGCAGCTTTCTTAATCTTTCTCTCAATCTATTGAAGGTACCTAAATAGCATTCTTTTAAAATCCTCATCAAATAGTTCCAGTGCTATTTATTCCTCAGGGATATTTTTCACTGGTTCATTTGTTTGAGACATTTTTTCTTGTTTCTTTAAGTGAATTGAATTCTGTTCTCTCCAACATATTGTGGTAATATATTTGTATTTAATTAATGACTATTTGGTGCTATTTGCCTTTTTGGGTTTTTTGGCTTTAGTTTTTTATATCTTTGAGCAGGAGAAAAGATGTGCTACTCTTTTTGATAGCTTTGCACCACTTAGGAACTTACTACCTGTCTCCTGGTGGGGTGTGATGGCGGATGGGAATGTGTGTTCAGTTTTTTGTTTGTGTAGAGCAGAAGAGGGCAGGCTGGGCTGGTGTTGGCTGCTTTCTATTGCTAATGAGGTGGTACAGGAGCAGGAGTGATCTTTGTCGAGTGTGTGGGGCTGTAGAGGGTTCAAGTGCGGGTTGAGAGTCTGGGCATAGCTGCTATGTCTGTCCGGGTGGGATAGAAAAAAAAAAGAACAATTGCAACAATAAAATAGCAAATAAATGAATAAACAAATAAATGGGAGACAAAAACAAACCAGAAAAAGAAAATCTAAAAAGGAGGGGAAAAACAAAAGAATGCCACCTTTCAAAGGTGGCAGCATGACCACGAAGATGCTTTTCCCAGAGAGAGGCTTATCCATTGCACTTCAGATGTGGTGACCCTGGTGATTTTCTTAACTATGGGAATGAGACTGCATAATTTGTAGTAGTGGGGGGACTGTGTTCATTCTCTACCCTTAAAATAAAAAAATAAAAGAAAGTAAAAAGAAAATATAAAGAAACTATACAGGGGAAAGAAAAAGGGGAAAATGAGGTAGAAAAAGAAAGACAAAGGGGGAAAAAAGGAAGAAGAAAGAAAGGCAAAATTGGGGGTATCCTGGAAACCCAAGACGCTGCCGCAGAATGCTGGGACACAGAATCCTGGGTCTTCTCAGTGCTACGCTCGTCATGCTCCAGAGGCTGCATCACGAGACCCCGTATGGGAACTCCACTGGGTGAACTGGACTGTACCCAGACACACCTGTAATCTGAGAACTTAAGCCAGAAAACACATAGTGTCTGAGGAGACAGATGGCAGCTGGACCAAGAGTGGTATACTGTTGGTTGGTGGACAAACAAGGTCTTGCTCCATCAACGCCCTGTGTGCTGTATTCAGATAGGTATTTTTCCGGTCATTCTATTATATTCTGCTCGTGCTTGTTTATATTAGGATGTATCTCAGAGGTGCATGCCACTGGGGCTCACCCTTTTGCAGCTGTGTATTATTTGTTTCTTTGTTTATTGGTAAATGAAACCCAACCCCCCTTCCTGGGGGATGGACAACAGAAAAGTGGGTGAAGGGAGACATCGGACTGTGTAAGACATGAAAAAAATTTTTAAATAAATTACCAAGGGTTTGTGAGGGAGGGAGGGGAAAATGAGGAGCTTATACCAAGGACTCAAGTAGAAAGAAAATGTTTTGAGAATGATGATGGCAACAAATGTACAAATGTGCTTGACACAATGGATGGATGGATGGATTGTGATAAGAGTTGTATGAGACCCCAATAAAATGATTTAAAAAAAAAAGAAACCCAGGGGCATTCAGCTTATAGGAAAAGAGTTTGGGGGAAAGGGGATATGAAGGGGAGGGGAAGATAAAAGGGAGATGATTTCAAGAAGTCCAGGAAGGAAAAGTATGTTTGGAGACTTATTATGGAAGCAATTGTACAATTATGTTTGATATGATTGAACAATGGAAGGATATGACATATGTATTGGCTCCCAAGTTACAGACAATTAAAATATATATCATAGAACCAGGAATGGGCTTTGGGCTCCCACTAAATCCTAGCACTAACTGAAGAATAAGCAGTTCTTACATCATGGCTCTGCTTGATACTCTCCTTCATGAAATAATCACTGAAGATAAGTGATCACCACACTACAGCAAAGTGTGGTGAAGAAAACAGATGGTGCCTTGCTCTCAATCAGAAGTGTCTGGGGTCTTAAAGGCTTGTTGTATTCAAACAAGCAGCCATGTAAGGAGGAGCCAACTAAGTCCACATGGAATTGCAAAATTCAAATGTGATGAAGAGAAAAGCATCAGAACTTAAAGTATGACCACCCACTTTATTTGTGGAGGGATATGGGGGACAGTAGGAGCCCAAAACCCATCTGCAGAGTATCTAGTCAGACTGAGCCACTGGCAAATTGTTCTAGTCATAGGCAAGAGTCTTAAACAGCCTTACTATCAGTCACAGACCCTTGTAATCTTGATTATGTTGGACCAAACTTGATACTCAACCAGTTGACCATCCTATAGACACAACCTGTTCTAGGTGCAAATATTTCTTAGCTTGTTCCATGACAGAAATTTCTTTCCTGGCTTTCTGAATGTCAACGGGGGTCTCTTCCTTCTTAATCATTATATGTATTTTTGTCTTTATACTATTTTTTTAATCCTTACCACCTTATGCAATTTTTTTATTGTTTTCTGTTGGGTCTCTCAGCTGTGAAGCACAGGAGGAGTGGATGCATAATGATAATAACTGATATAAGGGGATATATGGAATACAGGGGTGGGTGATAGGGAGGGAAAGGGGATTCCAAGAGTAAATAATAGTTGAACTCTAACACTGATGATCTGATTTGTGGCTCTTCACCTAACTCGCAATAAAAAAGTTTAAAAAAGAAAAGGAAAAAAAGGATAAATAATGAACGTGGGAGGGGGAGCACTAAAATGGATTGTGATTGCATAACTCATTTTAAAGGTGGTTTAACCATGGGGAGGGCGATGATCTAAAATTGATGTGGTAGTGATTGTTCAATTCTCCTTGAAATGATTGAATGATTGAACTATTGAATTGTATGATATGTAAATTATGTGCCAATAAAAATGTTGGGGAAAAAGAAAAAGTCAAAAGAAAATCAGGGGACAATGCACCCAGGCAGTTTTCCTCTTGCAGAGGCCACAGGGGAAAGGCACCCATTCAATGATTATCTTTTAAATATTTTTCATGTCCAATTCCATGTGTCTCTAATTTCACATACATCAATGTAGACAGCACTAGTAGTAATAGCAACACCAGCCTGACAGCCTGTCTAGTCTTATGAGAGATAATGACCCATGGTTGATTCTAATGAGATAGAGATCAATATACCTTTAAGAATTAGGTTGGTGTGGTAGTTACATAATCTGTTGTCAATTTGAGACTTAAGATTGAAGGAGTGGAGTTTAAGCCTGTAAATCAGGTTGCAGCTTTATGACCTCACTTGGAACTGCTAAGGAAATAAATAGCTTGCTGGAGGCGGGGCACACACTCCCTGCTAGACATTACAGTTGAGAAGACACATGGAGCTATACTATAGAGCCCTGGAGTTGAAGAAGCCACATGGAGACCCCTGTCAGTGCTGAGATGCTTCTGCTGCTACTGGATCCACAAGACTTTCCACCTACTGGCCTGTGATCTTTCTGCATTCGGCATCATTGCATGTGGTGTGTGAGTCTGAAGAGGAATTTATAGATTTGATAACAGACATATGGGCTAATATCAGACTATGGACTTGATCTGGACTGGGCTGGGAAGTTTTCTCAATATTCAATTGCTCTTGTATATAAAGCTCTTTCTTATACACATATGAGTGTCTCTGGATTTGTTTCTCTAGTCTACCTGGACTAACAGAGTTGGGTTCTCCAGAGAAGCAAAACAAGTGACCACTTTCTTGGAAATCCTATGGGGAAGTTTCACTCTGCCACAAAGGTCACTATGAGCTAGTTTTGACTTGATTTTACCCAATAAGCAAAACATAATGAATCTTAAGACAAGACACACTCCTGTCAGAGATGACCCAGGACACCTACACCCCCAAAAACCCAGCCTGCCCCCCCATGCCCCTCCAAGTCTCCTCTTTTTTTTATTAAAAGATCCTTTTATTGGTGGTTCTTAGACCTCTAAAAAAAAAAAAAAAAAAAAGACAAGACACACCATTCTCAATCATGAAAACCCCACTAATGGGTAGCTCTGTAAGATTTGGGGAATCTTGGGTGGTGGAAATGGTCATTGGACTGGACAGATAATCAAAGTGTGGAGGATTGAGTACACCCAGAGATGCCTCAGAAGAAAGATCTGGCAATTTACTTCCAGAGAATCATCATTGAAATCTATGGAGTACAGTTCTGCTCTGACACAGAAAGGGGTTGCCATGAGTCAAAGTCAATTTGATGGCAACTTGTTGTTATTGTTTGCTGAGAAATCCTATCACAGCAGCCAGGTTCAACATCCTCCTCCATCAACCTTTCCAGTGTCCATGGGCAGTTATCATTGGCTGATTCATCCAAGGGGACATGGGCCGCTACTCACCACTGAAATGCTACAGGTGAAGCAGCCTGGGGTGTAAAGCTCCAAATATATTCCTTCACACAGTGTTAGTGTGTTGCAGTGTGCATCTGGGGCCTATGATGTGCTGGCTCTGGTGTCATGGGTTATTTGTTGGGCTGCCAATCACTAGCCCTAACATTAGCCACCCTATGGGAGAAAGACAGAGCCCTCCACACCAGCAATGATGTATCATCTAAGAAACCCAAGGGGCAGCACCAGGTCACCTGAGTCAGAATCAACTTGAAATTTGTTTGTTTTTTGAGAAAGAATTGATACATTTGAATTATGATGTTAAGGAAGGATAGTTAAGTAATCCAAAAGATAGCAAATGAAAAGAAATCATAAAAAAATCTAGAGAATAAATCAACCAAAATAAAACCAAGAAAGGTTTCTGTATGTATGGACCATATTTTGGTTTTCCATTCATCTGTTGATGGGCATTTTGGTTGTTTCCACCTTTTTGTTATTAATAATGTGGTTGTGAGCATGTGTCAGTTCACTCCGGTAGCTACTTTTTGGTTCCTAGGGTATGTACCAAGGAGCCCTGATGGGGCAGTGGTCAAAGTGCGACTGCTTGGTTCAAACCCATCAACTGCTCTGCAAGAGAAAGATAGGGCAGTTTGCGACTGTTAGGTAGCTAGAATCAGGAAGCGGGTTGTGGCTCTACATGCTGAGGCGCCCCCCCTCCCCTTAAAGGAAGTTGGAAGGCAATACAAGCTAAAGGAAATGCGCCAATACAGGCCCTTGAGCTAGGTGGATGGTACACCTGGGTGGACCCAACTAGGCCAGGTGGGCTTAATTCAACCAATAGGGTCAACCAGTACAGTTGAACTCGCCTCCCAGCCAAGGCTGGAATCTGGAGACCACCGCTCCTTCCCTTCCACTGCTCCTCTGCTTTCTGCTCAGTGGTACTGCAGTCTCTCTGGCCTCAGGCTGCCACGTGTGGGTGTGCAGTGCCAATGAGGTTGCCTGTGTTCAGTTAATGTAAAGCCTAAAACTTCTATCCTTTATAAAAACCCACTTGGATCACAAACCAGGCTTTAGCGTGAATTCTTTCTTGTGTGAAGCCAAGAACCGAGGTAGTTCCCACCTGAGAAATCTAACACTTCCATAAAGATTACATCCTTGGAAATTCTATGGGGCAGTTCTACTCTGTCCTATAGGGTATCTGTGAGATGGAATGGACTTGTCAGCAACGGGTCAGAGTAGGGTGACTGTATACCTCATTCACACTCACTTCCTGCCATGGAGTCAGGGCTGAGTCACAGTGACCCCCTTGTGGGTTTCTGAGTCTGTAACTGTTTACAGGAGTAGAAAGCCCAGTCTTTCTCCCAAGGAGCTGCTGGTGGTTTTGAACTGCCCCCACGAAGAGTGAAGC